GAGCTTGGTAACCACTAGGCCGAAAAGATCCCTCGCTAACGTGCTTAATAAAAGGGAGTTAACTGAGCTAAAATTCTAAATACGTTTTTACTTTAAAACTTAATGCTTATAATTTTAGACATATCATTCATTTAATTATTGTCACTGAAATAAATTTATATAAAAAAGTATAATAATGATAATAAATCATAATGAAATAAACGAAAAATATGTTTTCTGCAAGCAAAATACAGAGCTGGCATTCAGCCACATTAGCTTCTAAAACTTATTATATATAATTTGTAAAGGCAGCAACAAGAAAGCAGACGTTTTGAAGCAGAATGAGGAGGAAGAAAGTTTAATAAATTAACAATCCTACTATCTCGTTTATTTAAAATAGTCAGGTCAAAAATAATTCGGATAATAGTTTTTTCCGGACAAGATTATGTTCTCGATTTCATTCTCCTCCCCCCCCCGGGAAAAAAGGCGAACGAATCATTTTTGAATGCATTTACCTTCGCAATTACTGATACTTTGAACTTATTTTTCCTGAATTAAACTTTAATATTTTTTCTAAAGTTTTACTATATTTTTTCAAAGCACTAGAGGGAATTTAATTTTTTATATTTGTTTGAGTCACTGTTTCTTTATACTATGAAACAAATGTTACACACGTGAAAATGAAAAAAAAAAGAACAATAATGTTAGCAGTACAGAAGTTTAAATGCATGAATACTTATAAGAATATGTATTTTTATGAAGATGTAAATTAATAAAAGCCGTTATAAATTTTAATGGCTATATTCAGAAATCCTTCTCTGAACATTCTAATCAACATATGTTGCTCTGAAATATTTTAATCAGCTATCTGAGAAACACTCAAGGTTAATTTTCAGGGTTATGCAAGAACTTACATAAATAGCAATTTTCACTTACGCAGTTTAATAATTAAGAGTGGTTATTGAATAATTTCACCAGTTTACCAACTAATGCGATTGCAACACAGATATTATTTTTCATGTTATATACAATTATATTTAACAAAAAAGGTAATGTCTATTTTCTCACTCTTGAAGTATCTTCTACAGAAATACTTTCCAAGCATTTTAAAAAATTAAGGTTTCACCAACACATCTAAATACTTTACTAACTAAATTGCATATTTCACAGAAAAGATGTAAGCAAAATTTTGCACAGTGTTGTGTCAGCCATAAGTTTTCATTAAAAAGCACTTTCTCTGGATTTTGTCTGAGGAATTGTTTCCTGCGTATGATATCTTTATTTAAAAGGCTTAAAATAATACTCTCACTGTGAACTGCTTGTTTTGCATCCAATCAGAAACAAGGTATTTCTGGAAATTACTGCGTGTGTAGAACGAATCAAGCCATCTTATCGTCAGAATAATCTACCTCAAAGAAAAAATATAAATATTTGCATATGTATTTTGGTGCTTTCCATTTGAATATATAGATCTATATGTGCTTGCGACTGGTTAGTTAATTATAGCAACGCATATGAGCATTATGTCCCAAAAGGAAGTGATGCCTTCGTGAAGGATTTTCTATGAGAATCACTATGTGTGTGAATATAAACCTCAGCACCTGAACGTTTAGAGGCATGTTAACCAGTGTTTCTGAAAACGAATAATAACACCTCTGTAGAAATATTTGTAGTATTTATGGGAGGAGGTAAAAGTCCAGCGTGCAGTAGGGTGACTTAGGTTTATAATCTCAGCAGTATAAACAAAAATTTCATATGACCCTTAGGTTAGCTGTTTTTTACCCAACAGTTTGATATAGTACGTGATCTCCCAAACAACATTTATAACATTATCATTAATGATTTATTTTAATAGTGCTATGTCAGTTTTTCGTCAAAGAGAAAAATCCTCTCAAGTTGTTTAAACTGGGTAATGAACGACTGATGATAAATCTTAAGCATTTATTAGAATAGTAAAACTAAATTAATTTTCTTTCTTAATACAATTAATTAATGCTATTTATTAATTAAGCTTTATTTCACTTGAATTATGAGTGTAATTAATTGTAATAAAAATTGCATGGAATTAAAAACATAATACCTTATTTATGTTTGCAAATGCAATAAATCTTTATATATACAGAAGATAAGGATATTCTTAAAATAATTCAAGCAAGGGATAATCTAGTCTGAATGAAATCTAAAAGAATATTTTAGATCTTTGAATATATTTTTATGCAATACAATGGTAAAAATATTCGTATAATAAGATTACCATTCACACCAAGCTCAGATGGAATACGTTTACGAGACCAATGTGTGTATAGACTGCAGCTCAATTTCTTGACTTAAAAGAGATTAAGCATATGTGGGACAGTAAACAGACACACACAAAAACTTACATTATCATGTGTTCATGTGTATAACTACTAAAGCTGCTTTATTCATGTCATGGGCATGATGAAAATGCACCTACCATTATAGATTAGATTATTCGAAAATGGCAATGCACAAAAGTATCTGCCTAAGTGTAGGAATGCCTTCGTGGAGGACGTTGTAAGGTAAACTGTATCTTATTCACTTTACACATAAGTAAATTCACGAAAATCAGCCATGAAGTCAGCCCGTTCGCCTTGGAATGAAACCAAGTCAATGTCCTAGTATTCAACGGCCTTAACTGGCGGAAACCCCTCTCATGACATAAGCCGTGAAGAGATGACGATGATGATGATAATATGTCTTGAAACCAAATGCTCAGCTCAGAACAACTGCCGAGCTCAATCTCTATTTTGAGCAAAGACACTCATTAAGATAGAATATAAATGTCTTGTACTGCTCTTCTCATATTCGCATTTTCTCATGAGTACTTTTGGTATAATAAATTTTTAAGTGCAAACCCAGAAAGAGAGGCACCTATAAGCATATATCCAACCTGATCCCAGCAACACAGCAACCACCTTTTCTAATCACTATTTGGCCTATGCCAAACTGGCAGCTAAAACCGGTGCAGAACTTCTACACTCCCCATTGCAGCAAGTGTTCACTTGCTACAATGGGGACTTTATCCTTTAATTTATTCGTTTTGATCAATTTCATCAACGAGGCAAATATATTAATTTCTAACACCGCCACTAACTCTTTAAAATAAGTGCTCAGTCCAAAAGGATAATCTTTCTAAGAGCTCCATGTTAATTTTTCTTCCTAAACTAATGATTACATAAATTAATCGCGACTTGTGGAGCTATTAAGTTATTTCGAAGCAGGAGACATGAAAAATAAGCAATGCCTTCGCCGGGACTAGAACCACTGACCTCTCGAATATGCGCCGAGCGTGCTGACCAGTACACCACGAAGGCATGCTAAGAAGGCGGGAGAAATACTTTATATACTCCCCCTTTTAAAAGGAATCTGGGGATTAGGGGACCCAATCGCCAAATCCTGGGGGTGTAGAATCATCATCCACCACCTTTTTAATTCGGGCCCCACTGTAGAGACATTAGGATTTTTGAAAGCAGGAGATGTGAAAAATGAGCAATGCCCTCGCCGGGACACGAACCACCAGCGCCGAACGTGCTGACCACTACACCACGAAGGCATGCTAAGAAGGCGGGAGAAATAGCTTATAACCTTAATATTCGCCCAAAGCATTTTTTTAATTTGTAACTATTGCATCCTCTTCAGATTCCTCTGCAATTAATTGATTAATTTCATGAGGCAATCCTAACCAGCTGAAGCACTCAGTGCTTTCCCTCAATGTCATTAAAAGACAGACTTTTCATGGCAGTTTCTTGCTCTTTTGAGCATGAATCGTGATAAATGGCCACATCACCCTGCATCCATGCCCATATGAAGTATTTTCAGCACCCTTGCCGATCAATAAAGTTGACACTCTATAAAGACACTCTATAACAAGTGTATGAGTAATTTAGAACAATTTTATCTTTATTTATTTGTCACTTATGGAAACAACTTAGCTGGCACTCTCCAAAAATCGGTGCCCTATGTAGCAGTTTAAATGGTCTTTACCTTGTTTATTTGAAACAAAGGTTCCGTAACGGGCTGAAAAGTACATAAATAAGGTCTTGTATTTTTAATAAGGCGTTTTAGGGATACGTAACTCCAGAGTTTAGGAGGATAAGGAAAATATGATGAGTTTTCTTGTTTATAATCTTGTATACATTTTTCTAATATCTTGTATACATTTTTCTAATATAAATGTAGTACTCTAAGACAGGTAAATAGCGTAATGTATCTCTATTAAACTATTTGTAAAAATACGAGCCTTTGCTTTTAATATATCACAGGTAATACTAAATTTTCTAATCTATCCTTTAATTTTGAATATCTGTGTGTATACGAATCAAAATACGAAATTTTGCTTTCGCAGAGGATAGATATTCAGAGATTTTATTACGCTTTTCAGCCCAAAATATACTTTTATAAATTGAAAGGAGATTAAATTCGCATTCCAGTTGCAATAGTTTTTTTTAAGTCCCAGTAGTTATTAAGAACTGTATTCAGAGCTGTGATAGCTGGATCCGTTATTCGAGTTTTAAAGGGAAATAGTGCTGGTTTTTGAGACCACACAGAGTCCCATACCGCTCTAGATTGCTAATTTATCCCTTCTGTAGACGGTTATTAAAGTTCAAAGTGAAGTATTTTTTATAACGTTATAAGGAAGAGTAGTCTGAATTTATTGCAAATTTTATTAGATTCACGTATGGACAACTTTTGTGCTTCACATTTTCTTTTTAGCTGTACCCACTTTTTGTGATCAAATAAATGTTCATTGATTTTATTCTGTGTTTTGCGTTAAATTCAGGACGATAATGGCTGTAATTCACACGCCGTTGGATATGAAATTACGAATCAGTATACGAAACAAACCTTTAAGAATGATTACGCGTAGGATTATATTGTTTTTTGTATGTTGTGTTTTCTAAGTTGTAAACTAAATTACAGACGCATATGCGTGTTTCGCCTCTTTAAATTTATAGACTAGTTTGAATGCGAAATGCATAAATTGCTGTTTCTTTTTTCAGGTATATTCAAGGAGCTGCTTCAGCCAAAGATATTGTAATATTGTTGGACGGTAGTGGATCAATGACGGGTCTTAGGAAGGAAATTGCTCGAAACGTAGTACTCAATATTTTAGAAACCCTTAGCGATAATGATTTTGTTACAATTCTAAGGGTAAGAATATTGCAACATTAGCTTTCAGTTTATTATTATATATGTGCATGTATATGCAAAACAAATAGTTAACGCAGTTATTTATAGTTTATTTTCAGTTCTTTAGTAATTTTTGCTTTTTTATCGTGAGTCTAACATTTTGTTGAATTTTATACAATTTAACCATCGAGATTACTACCTTCAAATAAATTTGGTTCTTCAAGGAATAAATTTGGATTTTTGGCTCAAATAAATTTGGCTTAATATGGTTAAATCAAGGAAAACGTCTCGGTGTGTGCCATAAACAAGTAGATGTACCAATTTCTTTGGCATCTTCAAGTGAAAGACTCATAAAATTTTAAAGCATGCATCTTACTTCAGGAATTATAAGTAAGATAACCATAAATAGACTTTAATGCTGGCAGTAGTAAGACTCCCTTATACATTTGTTTCCAATAATTAAGCATTGGTCAAGGAAACCAAATTATAATATTACACGCATTTTGACGTATTTACAGTAAACCTTTCCGTAAGAAGCTGCTTCTGTGATGTAAAAAAATGGTGCTGTCTTTCCTAAAGGTAAATGAGTAGAATTCTAATTGTGTAGAAGTTTGAAACAGTGTCCTTCAGACCTATTAAACTATAAAGGAGTTATCACTCCATCCGAATTAAAATGATAAAGTCTTAAAATGACCTTTCTGTTAACCCTTTAAATATAACAGAAGGCATCAGTTCAGCTTACGAAACAAAGCTCCTCAACTTGGAGGTATTTAAAATAATATAAGTTGAAATTTAAATTCAAATTTTGTAGTCGAGACTACACAAAATGTTCGTCCTAATTTGGCTGAAAAATGTAAGTTCTTAACCTCGTCTAGCAAAAGGCCTAAAGCTGGAATAGCCGCTGTCAGAGCTAGTGATAGGACGTAAACTGAAAGCGAAGCTGCCAAAAGCTCTAACACCAAAGCACTCAAATTTGTTGACCTAAATATTCTAACAACTAATTTGCATTCTGTTAAACAAAGAACTTACAATAAAGGTCTAAATCATAATATATGGTTAATTAACATACGATCCTAACAAATGTCAGTGTAAGTGTAGCTACGGTTTCCCTAATCATATTATTATTATATTTCTTAATATCAATATTGTAAAATGAAATTACGTCTAACAAATTATTGCAAAGAGCTTCTATTTATTTGAAGACTACCTACAGTTAAATACATTAATCCTTTTAACTATCTTCAGACACGATCAAACAACACCAGCTATCAAACGTATTGAACAATATTTGATTGGATAATAAAAGCTTCCAGAAAAGGATCTTTTACTCTTAAAAGAACAGTAGTCTCCTCTCATATGTAGTCTTCTTCATAAAAAGGCCTTTATAAAAATCTTTTGTCAAAAATTAATGTTTTAAATATTCTGCTAAGTAAAATGATTTGCAAAACAGTTTATGTCTATACAGTTTATATACATATATAGTATGTTTAAGTTTAACAGTTTATGTGTTTATGTTTATATTCTTGAGTGATCATTCACTGGTGCATTTTTTTTTTTAATTTTCAGTTTTCTGAGAGTGTCAAATCAGTAGTTCCTTGTTTCGAGAATACACTCGTACAAGCAACTGAGGAAAATCTCAGGGTAAGATATCATTTGTAGTGTTAACTATTTTCTTCTTTGTTCAAAATGATATTTTTATTAAAATATCCTAAATGAAACCACCCAAGTAGTGTAAATGAGTCAAAGCAAAAGTTGTGCATTAGAATATTTGTCATTTTCTTGTAATTTAAAAAACTTTAAAACGGTGCGAAAAACACTGTGCAATGCAAATATGCGCCTAGTTTATAGATCACTTTTGCATATATGTGAAGTTATTACAGATGAACTTATATTTCGTTTCAGGAATTTCGTGAACTTTTGAAGGATCTAGATACAGTCAATATAGCTAATTTTACTTTAGGATTAATAACTGCTTTTGAATTACTTCAAAAGGTAAGAAAAGATAATCTTCTTTCTCAAAGCATATTGCTTTAAATTCATTACCAAAACGTATTTTGACACCAAAAATAAATGAATTCATCGAAAAGTAAAGAATCCTAAAAAAATTGTCAAATATTATTATTATTCAAAAAAGTAGAAGAATTCTGTCATGAACTAGAATGCGTTCATTGTTATTTTTGAAAGCTCCCTAATGATAAAATGATACACAGTGTTTATTAATACCGCTCAAATTTGATGTACAAAGAGCGAAATATTTGCGTTTTGATGACACCATTAATGTGATTATTATCTTAGAAATTTTGTCCAATATAATTATTTCCTATCTTCCATTATTCCAGGTAGCGAAAAATAATGAGGGGAGCCAGTGCAATCAAGCAATCATGCTGATAACCGATGGAGCACCCTACACTTATGAAAAAATTTTTCAACAATATAATTGGCCAAATATTCCGGTACAGTATCATTTCATTATTAAACTCCTAAATTATTTTAAATCTTTATTTAAATCTTCTAGCTTATTTTTAATCTTTATTTTGCATCATCATACCTCCTTCAAAGTGTGTTTACTGAAAACTTAAATTGCTTCCTTTAGGTCCGCGTTTTTACTTACTTAATTGGAAGGGAAGTAACCGACATGGATGAAGTCCAGTGGATGGCATGTTATAATAGAGGTAAGGGAAAGCTTTTTTGCCAAAAATTATACACATGGATAAACACATAAGTGGACAGATATAGATGTAGAAATATATGCAGGCATTTTTCGCTTTACGTTAATACAACAAATAATAAGCAACAAGAACTGCCATGACATGAGTAAATTTGCAGGACTGTAGTTTCGAGGTTAAATAAAACCTTCTTCTTAAGCGGCGGCAGTCAAAATGACTGAAAAAATCGACATGTGACTGCGTGAGGGCAATAAAGAGAAATTCGATAATGTTTTAGCTAAATATGCTATAAGACGAAGAAGACATTGCGATCGAAACGTGAAGGAACTAATGGTAAAAAGAGATCTTCCGTCAGTTTTTCAAGAATTTGGTCTAGTTCACATTTTGGTAAACATTGGGTTCATTTTATATTATGAAAACACTAATATTTCTCTGTGCTGTTTTCAAGCAGGCACACTTCCTAATTTCGTCAGTTTTTCTCTTGCACGATTGAAGAAGAAGTTTCTATTAACCACCCAGCAAATTTACTCATGTTATAGAGATTCTGGTTTTTATTATTTGTTATTGGAACATTTAGTTTTTTCGAAATGCTCATTTTGTTACATTTTTCGTTAATCTATAATTGAGGATCAAATTGTGGAAGCCGTAGGTGTTTGGGAAGCTTGAAAATTATTTTTTTTTCTTTTGTAAAATATACAGGGTGTATTTCGAAACTAATCCACGGCTTTATCTTGAACGGTTCATCTAAAATACCTAGTTCTAGTTAATTAAAAATAAATTAAATAACTCAGGCTATCGGACTTGTACATCTGATATCTTAACAGAAACATCTTTTAGTAAATATAGATGAAACTGAAATTTTATACCCGACAGCTAAAGAAAATATTCCAAAACGTCATCCTCATACGATCAGAATTAACTGAGATGTCATTAAATTAGAATTTTGGAGAACCTCACACAAAGATTTCCAAAAACAGCTACGCATGTTTTCGAATGCAAATTTCTAAATAACGCCTTAAATAGTTACGTTATCAGTTCGAATCATTATCATTATGAAGATCATTATAATTTAATTTGAAGCATTGTCTTCAAATTACTATTTGTAGAAACGCTAAATCGACATTCTTTCTTTAGTGTAAACGTACTTTAAGTCGTATGATTCTAAACATTTTTTGGCTAAATCCATGCTAAGGACCAGAGCTTTTCTAAACTCGCTTCATTATGATGCGAAACTAACTGTGGATTAGAATTTTCTTCGTAGAAGGAGCAATATAAAATTTTTAATTTCAGACATTTTTACTGAAATGCTGCAGGTGATCAATGTTTTCATAATCAGAAAGGTCTATCTTGCTTGACCTAGTTCTTAAACTGGTGACAAGGGTCTATGACTAGTCATATAATTATTATGAGACATCTTATAGTATATATCTTTTGCAAATACATCCCAAAGTACGCACTAGATACGGATAAAAATAGAGTAGAATGAGCAGAAGCTTACCAGTCTTTTGCAAAATGTGATGAAATATATCTTAAGATGGGATTATTTTTCCATGGTGTAATTTGCAAGTTTAACTGAAAAATCGGACAAAACAATTAATTAATTATGTCAGTTACTGTTTAATTCCCAGTTAAAACTCAATATTACGGCTAATCTAACGGCAGTTAAAAAAGCACTGAACAGACGAATAATACAAATTATAATCAAACGAAAAGTGCTATTAACAACTTATCTGCATTTTCAAGCAGTTTATTTTGGATAATTAGTTCATTTGTTTAAGAAAACTACTTCGGTATTTAAAGTTCTCTGGCTGTGTCTCTCTCCAGTGCATGCATAGTTGCTCTTTCTCAAATTCTTCCTATCATTGTCTATTGAACTGAATTAATTACATTATGGCAAAGCACACGTAAAAAGACATTCTTGCTTTTATGAGTACCATTCTAAAAGGAGCGATGCATTCGTGGAGGGCTTTCTAAGAAAAGCGTATTTATCTTGCAGAAGGGGAAAAGTCACTGACGATATTTCACTCTTATTTCACGATGCACATGCTATTATGTTTGTTCACGTTTACATTATTTTTGTATTTGAATAACAGTCAATATGAAACAGAAGATTTACTTTGTAGACTTCATTTATTTTTGAGGTGCACTTTTAAGGTCATTTACATTTGATTTACTTTTAAGGTATTTAATGTGCATTAGTTGTACCTTTAAGACTGATCAATTTATTTTAATGTCGGATTAAAGAATGCTTATGCGTTCCGAATTACGCACAATTAAATTACTATTTTGGATAAAAATGACCCCCTTATACTGTGATATCATCGGCTACTAATGCCATTAGCCCGTGATATTTTTTTTAAACTTTTCTGCATTTTCCGTGCACAGTTTTGTTTTACAGTGATCATTTGTTACAGTAATTTTTCCATCTTTACTGAATAAACAAACTTAACATTTGCTTGTAGTCAGGGCAAGGTAAGTAATCCACAACTTAGTTAACCTGCTCCTGGATAATCGGGAGTTGAATATATGCTACTCCACTCATTTAAATTCAAAGAGGAAATGCAAAATACGTCTCAAGTTCAATACTTTAAATTCGCAATTAATTAAAAGCTCCCAGTCAGATAAAGACAATTATTACAGCTCACTAGACTACTTAATTAGACTGTTATTAGAATTATCAGTAGTTTAATATTTTATAAATTTAAAGAAATTTCAGAAGCCAGTCTAACATTTTACAAAGCTATAGGTTAAGTTATTTTATTTAAAAGTGGCAAAGCTACGAGACTATCCACCTAAGAGTAGAAATGACTTCGTGGCGGACTTTCTGAGGGAAACTGGCTCGTATTCATGTTACACGTCTTTAAAACCACGCACACGAACCATGTCCGTTCTCCTGAGTTCCAGCCAAACCAGATTGAACTACCAGTATGTAGCGGTCTTAACCAATCGGTCACTGTTTTACAGATCGGCTTTACAGAGCTATAAATTAGCCTCTTAAGCAAATTATATAACAGCAGAGAAAGAGCTAAATACTTAATAGTGATGAAAATTTTGTACTGAAATGCTTCCCTTTTTCTTTCTTATTAATATCTGTCGCAACCTTTCAAAATATGACCAATTGCTACCAATAGTATTTTTTAATGCTGCTTCTTAAAATAATAAACTCTACCACACTCTTTTACACTACTAGAATTAGACGGCTACGTATAGTCAAGATAATCAGCTATAATAAAGTAATATTCTAGGTAATAACTAAATTTAAAATTTAAAAATAATATATTCTCATTAACTATTGAACAGACTCTCAGTATTAAGCATTAACTACCACTTTACCCTTTTGTTGGGAATTTGTGATGTTGCTGTATATCCGCATACTTATACCAGCATTTTCGTCCCTTGCTAGAATTCTAAGATTTTAATTTGTTTCCAAGTATATTTCTTCAGAAACAGGCTTATTCACGCGTAAATATGCTATTTAAAATAGGCATGTAACAAATACGTGCATTTTTTTTTTTGGTGTTAAACTTATAGACCATTGCCATGTATTACACTTCTGACACGTGCATATTTTCTAACAGAAGAACTATAAAGTCTCTTTTGAATTTCCAAAATTAAAAATCTAAATTTAATTTTTGTAAATATGTCGTTAATGTGACTTATCAGTCCTAAAATTTATAACATTTTATGTGCTGCATATTTCAGATACCCTCAATGAGCATTTGTTTATCTGTTCTAATAAGTGTCTCAGTTACGCAAAAGACTCGAAGAGATGAAGAAAATTGCCGTATCAGTTTTTATTAATAACGTTCGTTGAGATTTTTTTCCAAATATGTAGTTGCCCTTAGTTTATTTATGGCCTTATGTATGAGAATTAATATATCCATCAGTTTATTTGGTTTTATATATTAATAATCTGAACATTAGACAATTCAGTAACCAAAAAATAGTAAATGAAAGTGGGGAATAGCTGTATATATGTTCTGTTATTTATTAGAAATATACGTTTGCATTTTTTAACATTCAGTTTTAAGGTTTGCTTTGGTTTCGATTAGTTTATTGTGGCAAAGCACGCTACGGCTATCTACCTAAAGGGTGGGATACATCCGTGGATTGCTTCATAAGGGAAACTGGCTCGTATACACGTTACACATGGGGAAACCCACGAAAACGCCCATGCAGCCAGCTCGTTCCCCTGGATTTCACCGCAGATCGGAACCACCAATCTTCAGCGATTTTACCTCTCGGCCGCTAGTGGGTCTCAGTTTCAAAGAATAAAGACAGATCAATAAATTGTAATATCATTTTCGTTTCAAATGAAACTCTTTCGACTGATGTCATTGGAAATAAGAAAAGAAATACCAATAAAATGCTGCTTTAATTATGTACATCATCTGCCTATAAAAATGACATTAGTTACATTGTCAAAATAAAATATAAGAATTTCACTTCATTGTTCTGCATATGTATTTATTATTTTTTAGGTTACTACACCCATGTGACTACGCTCGCCGAAGTCAGGGAGCAGGTCCAGGTAAATTGTAATTTTTTGTTTTGTGTTTTGTTTTTGTTTTTAGAATCTGCACTTTTAACTTCTTTAGAATAATACTTTGAATTTAAATAATAGTCCCTTACCAAACATTCGAAACTTTGAATACTAAACCAAGAATTGTAAACCTAAACGTAATTTGGATCAGTCTTTCCCCGCCAATGGCAGGCTCTAGACGTTTATAGGCGTTGGCCACCACTAAGGCCGGAAGCGGTGGTCTTTTCTTTGTGGAGACACCTAACAGGTAGGCCACCGTTGCTTTCTGCGAAGGGACGGACACATTACATCCATGCTTTCTCCGGGATTCGAACTCGGGACCTTCGGTACGGTAAAATTAAAGTCACTAAACATTTTCCTATCTTGGCATTTTCTTAATCTAATCTTCTTAAGAAGAATACTACGAATTATCGCCCCGTATTTACCTTCAAATCTAGAATGCTAAAGTAACAACATAGAACAAAAATCAAGCTAATGTCCACCCATCGTTGATAGGACTCTTGTTGGAGGCGTGCCAGAAAAGTTCCGTGCCCATTTTAAAGGAGAAAGAAATATTTCAATATTTCCCTTCATGTGAATACACTGGCATTCTTTTTTATTATTTACTGGAAAACGCTTTTTGGTTGCTTGTGGGCTATGTAGTACTTAAAAAACCAATGAGTCCGGTAAGACACGCGGGGAAGGGAGGGGAGAAAAGAAAAGGAAAAAAGAAAGGAACAAAAAAAAAATTGACGCGTCTGGGGGGTAGGCAAAATTGAGTAATCTTTTAATAGAAACGGGTTGAGTTTTTTCGACCATGCGCAGAAGTGTCGCGGGTAGACAGGAAAACATTTATATTCATTTTAACTTGAAGTTACAAAAACATAAAGGGTTAGCAAAGCTAACCTCCTTGTTGTTGCCTGGACAGACAACAACGATTCAAATTATTGACAATTCACAGTTCAAATTTAAAGCTTATCATCCTGACTTCTCTACCCCACAGCTGCTAATATAATTTCAATCACAGACAATTTATCGGCTTATTGTACAGCGTTAATAGTGTTATTATAGTATATATAGCAGCATGATATGTTATAAGAAACCTTTCCGAGAAACGCATATCAACCGGCACTATTTTGAACGGGCGGTTTCTAGCCGAAACATTTGCGCTCAGCAATGTATTACGTTTGCGTTCCTGGGATATTTTACGAGGGGAAAATGTCTTCGCATTTCTTGTTTCGTATAGGAAGAGAAGTAGAGAATATACTTAAGATCTTGGCGTAGGCCAATCAATCAGATTTGCTGAAAACAAAGATTCCCAGAAATATTTCTTTCAACTCGAAATTAAGAATAGTTGTGTAGATCTGATACCGGTTTAAAAACAGACAACAACACAGAAGGCTGAAATTGTTAACTCTTTCTACACACTTAAGATTTTCGCTCATTATTTAAAGTCTCTTCATATACATTTTCTTTCGGCATAGACAAAACAGTAGAAATACAGGAAAGATTCAACGTAAGAAAAAACGTGTAGATTAAAATAAATTTGCAAAATTAGTTTGAAACATAAAATTTAAAATACAAGTGAATTTTCTGGTAGCTTTTTTAACAAGACTGCCTTTTAACTTCTACAAATGTTATTAGTTTATTTTTTAAATGATGCATTATTTTTATACTTGCAGAAATACATTCCTGTTATGAGTCGCCCTGTCGTTCTCTCTGGTGAACACCCAATCGTGTGGTCATCAGTTTATGCTGACGTATCGGTACGAGATAATTTTTTGATTATTTATTTTATAACTGCTACATTCAGTACTTGCCCATGTAACCACTTACTCATTTAAAAAAACTGCTAGCATCACTTTGTTCACTATACAAATTAAGAGGTTTAAATATTTTGATGTCTGTTTAATGAAATTTATTCTTGAATTAATTAATTTTTAAATCTTTAATTGATATTTAATGTAATGATTGATTCAATTAATGAATTTTAATTAAGTTTAAATAAAACAAAAAAGAGGAAATTTTTAAAAGGCTTCTTAATTTTTCAATGTTAGAAGTATATAATTTCCTCATATGCAATATTTTTCGGAAAGTTCGAAATTTTGGTAGCTTGCCTATGCAATCAATGATAATGTTTTTTAAATGAATCTCTCTCAATTATAATTTCAGTCACAAATGCTAGATATATTAATTTTTTATGCTGAAAATGTTTCTGATTTAAATGTGCTTATGTTAATTTTTAGCAAACGTATAAGCAGAGTCCAGAAGTCCCGAAAAATTTCGAAAATTATATGAAAATTCGAATAGTTCAGTCTAATGGAGTATTGCAGCACTGTACTTTATACAGGGTGCGGCAGCGTTCATAGCATAATTTGATTTGTGTAGCACAATGACGTACTGCATGAATGCGTGCCAGCTCGTGCCGCATTCGTGTACTAATGAGCTGCCATTTCGAGTGTGACAGTGATATGGATTGTTGGAGTGCACAGCCTCGTGCCTTTGCTGTTGAACTTTATTTCAAGAACTCTGTTATTGCTACCCAGCGTCTATTTCGACAACGTTTCAACTTGGGACGTTATCGGAAAGTTCCAGATGAACGAACCATTGCGACAGACATTTCCAAGTAGAGTAATTTCCCGTTTTGGTGACATTTCCTAGCCGCCTCGCTCACCTGATCTTTCATGTGCCGACTTCGGGGGCACCTGAAGCAAGATTTCCGAACACGTTGTGCCACCATTCTTGAGTTGAAGGATCGCATCCGAACTGCCGTCGGCAATGTCCCAGGGAATACGTTACGCCGCGTTATGGCAAGCTTCCAAAGCCGCCTAGATGAACGTGTTGTGCAGAGGCGGTGCTAGATGAATGTGTTGTGCAGAGATGAATGTGTTGTGCAGAGGATATTCAAAAAGTAATCCATGCAATGGACAATGACTTACACATTAGTAAATGCCATAACTTTAACTATTAATTGACATAGGTAATAAATAAATTCACTTACTGCCTTATGGTGGGCTTTTAATATCCTACTATGAAAGCTGCCGCACCCTATATTATTATGTTAAATCTCGCCTACACTTAAACTACATAGTTGTTTAACCTTCCTAAGCTGCAGACTTATTGCTGTCGTCTTCAGAGGTGACGTGATGGGATCGTGCTAGTCACAGTCGGTAGGAGCCGAGCTTTCAAGAGAGCCCTTAACCAATATCCTGATTAAACGAATATGAGAACATACCATTTCGTTTAAAATAAGGAAACCGTAGAAATGCAAATGCAATCTTCCACTTTGTAACCCTTGGGCTGCACGCCTTTAATTTAAAATGCACTTTGTTTTGATTGAATTCTTGTTTTCAGTTAATAAATTTTATTTACATTGAATACAACAGATAGATACAAACAAAGAGTTATAACTAAATTACCTCTTCTTGTGTGGTCTGGAAATACATCAACTTAAATATCTACAAAACAATGGCAAATTAATAGCTTAACAACCCGACTTCTAGCTCTATTCGATTTCTAAATAAAGTTATTACCAAAAGCCAGAAAACTCACAGAAACGAACACAGCTAACCAGGAGTGTGGTTTACAAGAGACATACCGCCACTACCTGAGTTGCCATACTCTTTTTCTGCTAACTTGTATTTATTTCCTTTCGCTAATAAAAACCCGATCAATAATACATTTCTGCTTAGTCTGATGGAATAAGCAGAAGTACATAGAAAGCTTAGCACAAAAAAATATGTTAATTAGAATAACAGGTAAAATATCAGAGCGGGAATATTTTCACAGAAGCATAAGTTAAATTGCAACGTAAAAGCGATGAAAAAGTATTTAGAGGACGTAATTTGGCACGCATGAGGAGTTAAAATATATCTGTAAAGCTTTGGAATGCAATTTTCACGAAAAGAAAGATTTATTTTAGAAGTGGAATACATTTAGGTCTCATTTTTATCGACAAAGAGAACTGTATTGTAACGACAGCTGCGATTTAAGCCTTAGAAAAACCATATTTCTCTCACTGGCGGATACATGGCATAATTACCTTTGTGGCACGTGACAGATTTCTTGCAGTATGACATGCTAATTGCTATTTCTGATATTCCGCCTAGTAGTGAATACCCTTTGCCACACGACACATATTTCTTGCATTGTGATAAACTGATTGTGATTGCTACAGTCGACTTGGTTTTATATGGTACCATGTCCTTTATTTTCGGTCAAAATTTGAACTAAAGGACTATTCAGAAAGTAACTTACGTATCACCGCGTAGCAGCGAGAGATGGCGCTAGCATCCCCATGTTGGTGTCGAAGTGTCTACTGAATCCTTAGGCATTCGGCTGCGGTAAGCGTTGCCTCTGCTTTGCTCACTGTGAATGTTTAAAATGTTCCCCACAGACGGTATAGTGGTTAGGGGAGCCTGACTGCTGTACCGAAGGACCCGGGTTCGAATCCGCCTTTTAGGTGCCTCCACAACAAAATGGCCAACACTTCTGGCCTTAGTAGTGGTCAGTGTCGTTACAGGCAAATGCCTGCCATTGAAAAAAAATGGTTAAAATGTGTGCGGCAATAGGAAATCCCTCCATTTCTGAACTGCGATCAGTGATTAGATTTTTGGCAGTTAAAAAAAATTGAGACTAGTTGAAATTTATCGGGAACTTTGGTACGGTGTATGGAAATGACCTAATGAGTGGAGCCGGAGTGAGAAAATGGTGAGTCATATTTAAAAATGGCCGCACTGATGTTCACGAGTGGCCGGCCGAGCATTGTTAATACTGAACTGGTAGAGAAAATCGACGAAAAGATTCGCGAAAATCCCCGCTTCACAATTTCGGAGCTGTCACTAGAGTTTCCTCAAATTTCACGAACTTAATTGTTTGGTGTTGTGACGCAAGATCCCTCCTCACACGCACAGAAGTGAAAAGAGAGAACCGCGATGCATTTCTCAGAAGGCTGTATTTGTTTATACTGTTTTATTCCATTTTTATAAATTTTCGAAATCTTGACGGACTTCTAGACTACTTTGTATATAATCAAGCTTATTTTATCTTTTTTACTTCCAAATAATTAATAATTAGGCTCTAGTAATATTTTAGGATCTGGTTTAGCTACTCTCTGTATTTTTTAATTTGCAATTAGCATCTGCGCACACTAATTAAATTTAAATTCTACTATAAGCATCATTAAGATGGTAAACAATGCGATTTTTATATTATTTGAATTTTAATCCGGCAAAATATCATATTTTCAGGATGTAAAACTGTCCGATTGGCTGTGGCGAGAGAGAGAAAGGGTGATTACTCGTAAATGTATGTTGGAAGAAATAGAAAACCAAAGAAAGAAACGGGAAGAAGATACTGTTAAACTGATGAATGAAGAATCCCAAATGGGACAAATGGGAAATATTTCAATTTCCCATTATATGGCCTCAGCACCGGCTGAAGATTATCCATCAGATGCCGAATTTTATCGAAGACCCTACAAAAGGCCGGTAAGTTTGCTTTGACTTTCGAAAAAAAAAAGTCTTATACAAATTGAAAAATTTTCAAACCGAAATAAACAGAAGAAAGGTTTAAGCTGTCTAAACCCAACAAATGAGGTTAATTCATTAGTAGTAGTTAAGCTTTTGCAGAAACTGAAAAGTAGCTTTTATTGTGAAAGGTGGAAGAGAAGGAAAACTGCTATCAAAATAAATACTGCGTTAAATTCATTATGTGATTTCCCCGGTATATTTCTAAAAGAAAAGCTGAGTTTTTAAACCAATAATAATTGCGATGCACATTAGTGTTCAGATAGTAGAACATTTTTCTTTCAAGTTAAGCTTGTATCAGACTCAACAACCATGCTTCAACAGCATTCTTTATGCTTAGATAATGAATAACTTTAATTTAATTATTTTCATATTTTGTTTACCAGAATCACTACCTTTCTCCCAACAGAGAAGTTATGAAATATTGTGACTGAATTCTACCACAAAATAAGGAACTGAGGCATTATTGTGTGGATATAGAGTACTTCTCCCGTATTTTTTCTGCATCCGCTATTTTGTCATGCACTACTAGTATATCGTTTCGGTGCATCAACTATCTCATGCTCGACTCCGAGAGAGAACATAGTTTTTTTTTCCGAGTTATTTCTTGCTCTTGAAACTATTCCAACTCTCTATATTCTAAGATTTAGGTAAATGTACCAGAAAACACAGTTATACAGGGTGTCTCAGTACCAGGGTTAAAAACTTGTTAAAGGTGTCGGTTGCATTTAGTCAATTCGGAATCGCATTGTGATACAGTGTCGAAAATGTTTTCCTGACACTGTAGATGGCGTTGGTTCAAAGTTCTGGCAGGTAAGCTTCATTTCACGCACGGAAGGCAAGGGATGAATTGCGTCCGTGAGCTTCAAGTAAGATGGGTGATAATTACTAATGTGGAGTTAGCTGATATGCAACTAGTGCAAGGGACAACTTAATATTTCAGCAATAGATCGGGTATGATGGCGTGATACATTAGCCTTCTCAATCGCGAGACTATCATGTCTTAAGTAATCAAGGCTATGTCCATGATAGACAATCAAGGCATGATAGGTTTTGGGGGTATATGCAAATATTTGTGCATGACATCCCCGTTGGCAGAGCCGAGGAAATGCTTGCAGGCATCTTAATAGCTGCCGGACAAGTTCGAGACATGTCTGGAATCTTCCAAAATTTTCGGAATTCCATGAGCGAGAGATGTGATTAAGACATTACAACTCGTGGAGAACACTTCAACCATTTTCTTTGATCTTTGCTATTTTGTGAGCGTACAATTATTATTAAAACACATATTGACTTACGGGGTGTCCTTTTATTTCTGCCGTTTTCTGCGCGCACATTGTCATTTCCCGTCCCAATCTCCTCCACATTTTCTGGATCATCCTACCCCTCCTACAAATCTGCAACCATGATACTGTGGTACCATGAATATGTTATCATGCGAGCCGGTGTATTCCTCAAACACTATGACTTTTATGCAGGGTATGTGATGGGGATTTGGAATAATTTGTTTGCGATAGTTTAATATGAAATTTCCTGAATTGAAACAATTTGTGACCTAGGGCTCATTAATTCTATTATTTTAATACTCTTCATTTTTATGCAATCCGAATGTACAGTCGGAATTTATTTTATCAACTGTAGCACTTTTAATATTATGTGCAAGTCTCGAAAGTTTGCGTTATTAACTGTTGTAAACATGTAATAGTGTTAACTCTTCACTTATATATAATGCAGATTCGAGAATTGACTTTAATAACTGGCCAAAATAAGTTTTTCGTTTTTTTTTTTTTTTTTTTTTTTTTTTGGTAGGTAATTTTGATCGAGAAGTCTCTCTTCATCACGAGAGATGTGCACATTATATCTCGAAATACACTGAATCTTTAAAGAACATTTTAAAAGCCTTAAGATGCTTTGCCAAGTAATTATCCAGATTCTCTTGGTTTCAGTAACCGTGACTAGATTATGAATAACCACGTTAAACGGGTTCGTTAATTTTTAAATCTAGAAAGCAGTACTTGAATATTGATATGTGTTAAAATATGCATACATGTAAAATTCTCATAATGAATTACACCATTATTATTACTTCTCAATACATTTTGTCATAATAAACTGTAAATCTGTGAATTTTATTTTAATCATAATAAATTCTGATTTTTTTTCCCTGAATGTTTTTGAAAATAAATGGTTTCGCCCAGTTTTACGAAAGCCCCTTTTTCTAAAGTACAACAATTTAAATCCTTTCTCTTTTATTCTTGGCTAGTGCCTATGTAAAAGCACGCTTTCTTATGTTGAGATAGGTGATAATGGATTACTTAAAGGATCAATGAATACCAAAAAAGGACTGTTGAAATCCAGTAAGACCAATATATATTCATTCCGTAGTTCAAAATATAAACTGTTAAAAGTCTAGTAAAGATCACTTAAACTTTCCAAGATCGCTTCAACTTAGCAAAAATTTAACTGAATGTTTAACAAAAACATTTCTTACAAAAAAATGCTTACAAATTATTTTAAAATATTTTTGAGTATTTTAGCTTTTCATAATATCATTTGAGACGGTGACTTCAAAAATGGCATAAAAAGTTGGATATCATGTGCACTTTTTGTTTCACAAACAAGTGTTTGAAGAGTAGCGCACGAATTGAAATGCATTGAAAATAGCTTTAAAATGTTTTTCGTGGAATATTACAGAAAAGATTATGTTTAAGTACGTATTGGACTAAGCATGAGAAGCCAAAACGCAGAATGTGTTCAATATGCTTACTTTTGGTGGCACACAATATTTTCAAGTCTGTTGAAATTTCAGGTTTTGATAACTGCCTTTAATTTAGAAATCTTCATACCATTAATTCAAAGTACTTTCGGGGCTAGAATTTGAAACGCTGTAAACGTTCTGGATATTCGAAGAACATCATACGGAGCTTTGAATTTCTGCGTGAATATTTTGTCCTCCGTAAGATGTCCCATCGATATCCAGAAAGATTACAAAGCGATTTCAGAGTAGCGGCCACTAAGCTCTGATAGCTCTGATAGATAATTTCTTGTATATGTATATCTGCAAATGCAGTACAGCTGCGAGCCTTCATTGCTATTCTCTTCTAAGGACTGAGAGAGGGTTTGTATCGTAATGTAACTGCTAAACTGAATGTCCATATGCCTTCAAGAGGTTAAACTCCAGCAAGGTGAAAATATTAAGGAAATCTTGCATAATGTCTAACCATGCGCATTTCACTTTTTATCTTAATATAATTTTTTCAGTAATATTCTATATGTTTAAATTTTTATAAACCGATTTCAGTGCATGACATTTTATCATATAATAGATGCATTCATATTTGCTTCCGCAGTTTCGAAGCACGATTAAATTAATTTTAGAGGAAGCCCGATAAGTAATGGTGAATATAAAATTAAATCATGAATTTTTAAGAAGTCTTTAACTTAAACTCTTATAAAAGAAACTTTGAAGCGGTAAGTTTGCATAGCGAGAAAAATATGCCTTTGTATCTGTTGCCATTCTGTTAATGTCCTATAAACTACTAAGTTTTAAAATTAGTACTCAAATATGTAAACTACAATGATTATGAATACATGATCTGAGAAACTGTATATACTACTTATTCAGAAGAGGTATTAATATTACTTTAAAATATTTCGTATGCAAGTTTGCTAAGAGATTAAAACATCAGCATTGGAAACAAAACCACTAGCCACTAAGAAAATTCCTTCAGTCTGAAAACAAAACATTTTAATAATGTCAAAATCATTTCAACAATGAGAAACTGCTGCATATTAAACTTGTTTTCATGAAAATTGTTTATGAATGCACTGATCAAAAGTGAAAATTTCTCCCATCCGTCAAAAGACAAGTTGATGGAAGATATTTTCGTTGGGCCAGACGTCAGCAAATTCATATTAGACGAAAATTTTATAGCTTTTATGGATGGAATTAAAGAGGAAACTTTATTGATCTAAGTGATGAAATAGCTATAATTTTTAGGTATTAATAAGAACCATGATTGTGTGTGGCTGTAGTTGAAGATATACTCCAAGCATTTAAGCTGCTCTATGACCGCAGAATTTCGTTTTTAAATCCAGAAAATCTGAACGCATTAAGTGAGACTCAAGAATAATGTTTTAAGTAAGACGTTAAATAAATACGAAAATCCACCAATATTTGTTTTAATCGTTTCTTTAACATTCTCATGCAAACAACTATATTTAAATGCTTTCTTTTAAATATATATTTAACATTTATATAAAATATTTCTGTTGAAGTACATATAATATTTTCTATTGAAGTTGTTTGATTTGATTGAGGTTACGCTTTTCACTTCGAAAGAAAAAAAAAACTTATAATATCAGTCTAATGTTGCTCGATCGGGCGAGTTTTCGCAAAATTCCTACTTTTGACAAACCTATGCTACTAAAATATATGTGTATGCCATTTTATGAATTTTCTGCTGCTCCATCATTCCCTTGTGCTATTTTTGCCTGCTTTAATGTTTTTAATGCATCATAAAATGCGTATATGTTAATACTATGTAATTATAAAAATTAATTTATAATAAAACGTAATATTTTATTTAGGCTCAAATAAAATTTTCTGCGACCGTAGCTCATGACAGCATGTGCCCTCAGTTCTTAGCACTACTCGCTGGTATTTTCATGTGTTTTATTGATTTCTTCATTTAATACTTTGATGATTTGTGAGTAGGATTCCAAAGTTTAATTCAGGGTAATAGCTGCTGTGTTAATCAAGGTATAAATTATAAGTAACGTAAAATTATAACATCGTCTTTCGAAATGCTTGGCTTAAAATGCGCGTGTTAGAGAATTGATTAGAAAGAATCAAAACAGATTAGACAAAAACTTATTGCAAGATATGTAAATGTGAACTGAGGTCACATAAAAAGAATAAACCACCAACTCAAAAGAATTAGCATACAAGAGTTTCAACA